GAATACTAAGAACCTGGGCAGGTGGTCGGGGTTTCCTGAAAGATACACCCGCCCAGATGGTATCTTAGTCCAAGGGTCCAAATACCATAACAATATAATGAAACATAAGAAGAGCCACCAATAAAAGGTCACCAATCAACACGACGTAGTTTCATCCTTGGAACCCTAATATACCCAGCTATCCTACGATTGGCAAAGGCCGGGGTGCATTTACCACCGGCGTCTCACCGGCCATGCCGTTCCTACAATGGAAATAAACGTTTGAGGCTCCAGATCAAGACAGACACTAATAATACCGATCCGATGGAATAAAGCAATTTAGTCGTATCATTTGTACATAGACTAGAAGTATTTTTCCAAGACTAGATGTAGACTATATGTAGTACAGTATATGTACATCGATAAGCAAACAGAAGATCGTCCACAAAATAAACCATCAGCTAGCTACGGCAGACAGCAGCAGAGGAAGTCAGTATGTCAGCACGTACGTACGTACGTGCAGTCTAACATGGATTTATTGCTAAACAGCAACGAGCGGTACAAGTAGCACCGTCTTCTTCACTAGGTATTTATTGCTAATTTTAGGGGGGGGAAGCATTCTTTTAAGAACAATTGGATCTTTCGATGATGATGAATGATCACTCACAGATCATCTCCGTCTAGATGTTATTTCGATCTCGATCTTCGTCTACATACAGAGTAGTTAAAATCAAGCTGATTTAATTTGGGGCTGGCTGAATCAGGCAACATGATGACCCTTTCATGCTCTCCCTGTCTCCTTGGTAACGGGTGAAAGCAAAACAGAATGGATGCAGCAGCAGCAGCAGTGCCTCCCCGCTCGTAAGAAACACGCGCCTAAATAATAGAAATCGAGAAGCTCAATTAATTGAAGAACCAAGAACGGGCACCAGGGGGAAGCAGACTTGGTCACATATCTATCTATATGACTTGGCTCACTCACCGATCGGCACCACACTGTACTAAATACAGCATCGATATTAAGCATCAAGGTCTGACGAGAATGAGATATGCGCACTAT